TAAATGGGAATATTCATTTTGGCAACATGACACAAAAGCAGTTAAAATGGACCTAGAAGTGCAGCTACAAAGCCCTGACAAAGTTTTTGACTTATTTTAAAAGGATCAAGTGGAAACACATGTACAGAAATGAACCACAGAAATTACATTAAAAAAAAAAAATCCAACCAACTACCTTACTAAATGACATTCACAGAATGACCCAATGTAAAGACAAACAAAAAACACTGATCTAATTTCTCAGAGTGAATCAATTGTTTAAAAATTCACTATTTCATTATGTCAGTAACTGCTCACAAAGCATCTACTTGCATCCATATGTGCTTTTTTTATCTATTTGGATTTACACAATCAAAAACTGCACAACACAGATACCATTTCTCAGCTGTCAGGAAGAGTTTCAGACTCAGTCTCTCTGGAGACATATTATTTGTCTTAGCCACTGAGAATATGTTTGCTGTAAAAGAGAAAAATAAGGCAACCCTTGCCTTCAGATCTTACACTCTGGAAGACAAATAGAAAAAAGAGTTTTTCTCCCAGAGGCAGTCAGGGTACAGGAGTTCAGGCCAATGTCTCACCATTCAGGATGACACCCTTCTCCAGACACATCCATGCAGAATTTGACTGCTGACTTGGAAACAGCTTGCATAAATACTAAAGAATCATACTTTCATGTAGCTTTGTCTGTGCCAGGTATAACCTTCTCCAGTCCTCCCCCATTCCCCTCTTCCCTTAGCCAAACACAGCCACCTGTCCAGATCCTGCCAATTCATCTGACCAAAAAAAGGGCAAAGATAAAAATCAAATTATTTGTATTTGTCAGCACAGTATGTCAGTCTTACAATCAGGCTTTATTTTCTACCCCCTTATGCAACAGTAGCCTCTAGGGGCCAACAAACAATGGAGCATCACTGACATACTCTGGATAATGGAGTCAGAATTCCCAATCAACTGGCCTGCACCAGTCCAGCACCAAATCTGAAGAACCTTTCTGCTCTGACACAGAAGAGACTCTTAAAAAGCAAAATGGAAAATAAGTTATCAAAATATTACTTCATGTGAAATAACCACTTAACTTTACAAATAGAATTATTATCAGTTTCTGTATTCTGCTCACAGCTCTGTAACTTATTATGTATAAAAAGTTCAAACCATAGGATCACACACTACCTTCTTCAAGAAGTTGAAGGGAAAAAAAAAAAACACAAAACCAAAAACCAACTTGGGAGGCCTTTTTAGGCCTTCAAAAACCCTCATTGTATTATCCTCCCCTCTCTCAAGTCAAAATTACAGAGATTTCCAGAGGGGGAAAAAGCCCAACAAATAGCTTTTATCAGTACTTTTTAATGATGCAAAGTCCATACCTCAGGGCATAATGAAATTAATAGGAGTTTACCACCTGCCATAAAAACAGGAAAAAAACCCCAAACCCTTATGCCATTTAGAAAAGCATAACTCAGCTTTCAGTGCTCTTCTGTGCAGTGGTTCACAAGGGATCAGCACCACCTTTGTGACTGACCCAGAGCTGAGGATTTTTCATTCTGCACTATGGAAAGGAGTAGTTTTCAGAAGCTGTTAAAACACAGCTCCGCCCTGTTTGCTTTTCAGCAATCTATGCATTATTTAAGTCTAAAGAAAAATTACTTCACCAGCAGACAACATAATCTTTTAATGAATGGACTTCCTCATATTACCACTCTGTTTATATATAGAAAGCAACAACTAACGTTCACATATAAAGAAATAGGTCTAACTTATACACTGAAAAGTTAAACTATGTTTTGGTAAAAGGGATGGTTTTCCACAAAAGGAATGAATTTAGAAGTACAGCAAAAAATGATGAAACAAAATTACCTACAGATAATTGCCAAAAAAGACATTTACAGGTCTGCTGGTTTTGGCTGAGGCAATTTTCTGCCCAGTGGCTGGTACAGGGCTGTGTTTTGGGTTTGTGCTGAACACATAGTTGACAATACAGAGATGTTTTTGTTGTTTCATAGAGCCAAGGCCTCTTCTGCTTTCTCACTTTTACGCTTCTGATTCTCTCCCTGACCCCACCCCTGATCCCAAGGAAGTGAGCAAGCAGCTCTGTGGGGCTTGGCTGTTGGCTGGGATTAAACCACAACAATGAGACTTTTGCCTTTTTTTTCTGACAGACATCCTTCATTTTCTTCTTCCTACTTACAAAATAAAAACTCATGCTAGAGATTTGATAAAATCTTCTTAAGAAATAATTGCACAAGATAAGGAAAGTAAGCAATTTATATTTTGTCCTCAGCACATCATCTTTGGGTTTTATTATTCTTGCTGTTGCAACTTTTTCAATGTTAAAGATTTTTGATGGTTTATAAATCTAATATTGTTATACACTTGACACTTACAACCTATTCCTAGAACAAGATCTTTGTTCTAGGATTAAACAAAGATCTGCTTTGAAATTGGTAGAAATTGAAATAGAAATATTTTTCTTGAACTACTATCCCCCTACAGATGAGGTAGTCACGCGTTTATCTTGGGCAAACCTGTATGTTTTATATTCAGGACTGTCTCCTATTAATAAAATTATGCATAATTTAGACCTGATGTCTTCCTTATCTGTTATCTTACTCTTCAAGATATGGGGTCAATTTGAGCAATTTGCAGCTTATGGGGTCAATTTGAGCAATTTGCAGCTTCGCAGTAAGTCAAGACCTTTTCTGCTTTGCAGTAAGTCAAGCCCCTCCACCAGCAAGCAGGCCAGGGGTGACAAGGAGCTGTGGGGGAACACAGCTGGAACAGCTGACTCCAGCAAACCCAAGGGATATTCCAGACCACACAACATTGTGCTCAGTGTTCAGAGCAGGGGGGGATGAAAAAGGAAGCAGGGAGTGTTCAGAATGACAGCATTTGTCTTAGCAAGCCACCATGATGCATGATGAAGCCTTGTTCTCCTCAGGATGAACACCTGCCTGCTCATGGGAACAGGTGAATGAACTCCTTGTTTACTTTGCCCCGTACATTTATCTTGTGCCTTATCTCCCACTGTTATTGCTGTACAGAGATAAGTGTCAATAGTCAGTAGTTACCAAATTATTCTATCAATGTATTTCTTCAATTTGACCATTGTTTAAGTTGTGTGAATTTTTTAGTGATCCTGGGGCAAGAAAGTGCCCATAAAGAAGTTGTACTAATAAAATGTCAGCTACATAGTGAGGATCCATGTCCTGAAAGATACTGGAGAAAAGCACAGGATAGTAACAAGCATTCTCAAAAATGCAAGTCCAGGATGATAGCTGAAGTCTATTACTTGTGCTTGGCCTATTACTGGTGCTTGGGTTTGCATCCTATCCTTGATCCCTGCCTGTAAATCAGATGCCACTCTACTGTTGGCATTAAAGTGCATCACAGTCCCACTCTAACTGGAAACAGCCTCTAAGACATGCATAGAATTTTTTTATCAGCCTCAAGAACTCTGCTGGAACTATTTTCAAATTATCATATACCTCTGTATATTTCCTAAGTTCCTCCTTATATAACATGTAATAGGTACAGGCATTAGGAATAAAAACATTTTTATTTACTCTAATTTATAGTCATCTTTGCATTAAGGATTTGATAATTTTATGGATCCCTCAGTATTTATATCTAAGAATGACTTCAGAGGAGTTCATCCTAGCAACTGTCAGCCCTTAAAAATTAAAACGCAGATGAGCTGCTTGGGCTTTCTTTTCTTTGCTTTTTTTACCCCCAAGCTCATGAAAACTGAGCAGAATACAGATTGCTTCATAAAACAAGGAGAAAAAGCAGCATCAGCAAACAAGCATACAAAACTGATATGAAACCTACACTGTATTCCTGCAAGACAGGAATATTCAGGAGTTTTATAAGGAGAGAGAGAGACTGCAGATTTAATATCCAAACTTACTGAATGATAACAAAATTCATTAAATAGATCTTTCAGACCTCACAGGCAACTAGCACTACAACTTCTATCCTAGCACATTTTTATTGTTAAAAAGATTCATTTAAAACAGAGCAGCATGAATTACTTCATCAAGATCACTGCTATTATAATGAATCATTAATATCCTAGTGAAAAATTTATTATTATGAATAATGCATTCGAAATGATGAGACAGAAAATGAAGCATTACTCTGTAAAGTATCAGAGAAAAATCAAAGTGATGTTATGAAAGCTGGCAAGATAACCATCATTTTTTGTTCTAAATCTTTCTAGATATCTTTCCAGATGCTTTGCAATTATTATATTTTCTTATTTAATATTTATATTTCAACTAAAGAAAAAACAAATATGTTAAACAACGTTCTTCCCTTTCTATGAATAAAATGCCCAAGTATATCCATTACTTTGTCCATAAAACAAGTTCTGTCCACAGGAGGCCCATTTTTGTCTTCATAACATTTATTTGAGCATATGTGATTGTGAAACAAAATCCTTTCTTTGCAATAAACAGTGAAGTTATTTTTTCAAACCACTCTATCTACTGCACATATACCAGCATTAGAGAAGGCTTAGATAAAATGTCTTAGATGAGGTCATTTTGATACTTGCACTATGCTCAGATAGGGAATCAGGTCTCAAAGTAATAATCATTTCAATATAAATGCCACACAACTTACCATAAATATAACAATTGGTGTCTTTTCTGGGGAGTTAGAATCAGAGCAATCAACTTGTGTTTAGAGTTGCAGTACACAAAAGTTGCTCTGGCTTACTACAACTGATTTCAGACCAGCAAAATAACAAGCGTATTATTTGGGGTGGACTTCTTCTAGCTAACTAAAGTAAACCCAAAACAGAAAACATTACACCAGAATCCAGCCAAAGGAGAAAGGAACAATTAAATTTTGAATGGGCATTGAATATTCCTTATATTAGTGACAGATTTGATTTGTCCCTTCTCCTTGACAGATTTGTATATATTAAATCAAAGCAAGCAATGCTACAACTATTCTTGCTTCGTGACATGAAATGACAATTAAAATACTCAGTGGGGTACCTTAGAATTAGATGTGGATTCCAAAAAGCAAAGCCTGTTGCCAAATCCTTCTGCAGCAAGACACAATTTCTGTTGCTCCTTGTGAACAGTTGCAGTGCACTGCAGAACCACTTCATCATCCTACCAAAACAAAAAAAAGCAAAAAGAGAGTTAGTTTTAAGAGAATTATGTTTCTGACCCAACAAGACCTATGGGAGCTTTTAGAAAATCACTGCTAAATGCACAAACTGTTAAGTCCCTGAACACAAGCAGAATCAAACCTTAGCATATTTTTTATTTTGAATTGTAAATGTGGGCAAATCAATTAAAATAATTATAGTAACAGCATACGTGCTCTTTCCATTTGCCTGTCAAGGTAATAGAAGTCAAAGAAGGAGTTTTATTTTAACTACACACAAAGTAAACAGGAATTAGTATTTCTTTCATAGGTCAGTCATACAATGCAAATAAGTAATAAAGCTTAAAATCAATTAATTGATGGGTACCATATACATTTGAGTTCATTTGTTTGTGTATATACTGCACATATTCTAGACAGTGCAAGTGCTTAGAAAACTGTAAAGAAATAAGTAAACAAAAGAAAAAAATTTCCTCTCTTCAGAGCCACTCTGTATATACAGTTCATAACTTAGGGTTTTTGCAGTAAGTTGGAAAGTAATCTTTGTATAATCTTGTGTAACTTAATTAATAAAGGATTTTTCTTCCAATGAGCTAGTGTCTACGTACTGCTGCTCCTGGTAAAAGCTGTGGAGAGAACTATCCACAGCTTCTTAAGAGAAGGAGGTGTGGTGACTTGCTGAGACTTCTGAGAGCAAGCAAGACTTTGTGATAGAAGATAATAAAAGTATGATGACTAAGCAGAGTGCTGAAGCTTATCAGAGAAAGTACTACCACTATCTTATACCGAGTTTAATAGACTTTTATGAACTTGCCAATTAAGTGCTCTGTGCTTATCCTAATGTGCAAGCATATAAAGAGATTTTATATCAGGAAATACTCAGAATTAAAAGGGAAAATGAGTTATTGGGAAAGCTGTCCCATAGCTCTGCTCAGTATTTCAGAGAAAGGCGGGTCTAAGACAAGGAGGAACCAATGGTATCTTGCACCCAGTAAAGCAAACACTATGTTCCTTAGTCCTTAACTGTATAACTAAAATTTCACAGGACTAAATCTGTGTAGTGATAGTTAAAGATCTTATCAACAAGCCCCAAAAAACAGAGGCAGAGATCACAGTTCTTCTAAGTAACACGATTAGCAGCTGGAGAATCTCTGTAGATATATGGTTCAAGTTAAAGAAAGAAAATTTTGTTGCAATGAGTCTATTTTCTAGCAACGATTTTCTGTTTTAGAATAGAAAAAATAGCATACCCCTATGCATTCTGCCAATACATTTATGATTTTTCCAACAATAAATTTCAAATGAATGACTATGAAGAGGCCATATTTAACATTGTAAATAAAATTCAATAAGTAAAACAACTGAACTGCAAGATGAAGCATGCAACTGGAAGCAGAACAGGCTGAGACTACAAAAATGCATGCATTAAAGCAGGAATGTTTACCAAAAATCTTAATCTTAAAGGCAGCTTGCTACAGAAGGACATTCAGAAAAGTTCATCAAATTAAATAAACACCTGAATTTAAATTGAACTGAATAATTTGAAGCCACCTCTAAACATCCTGAATTAAGCTAGCTCTCATTTGGTTCCATTTACTTTACTTGAACAATTAAACTAGATTAAATTGAAGTGCATCTCAGTCTGAGAAGAACAGGACCTTACAGAGAGCTTAATCGGACACTTGAAAAAATTAATTCCTGTTACCGTATTTTAATTGTCCCCATATGGAAAAGGTAAGTATAGGGAAAGCAATTTTCCTTGTGTACCTGCCACAGTGCCCATGCTGCAATTCACAGTCAATTGTAGAGGTGAAAAGTAATAACTGCTTCCAGTCAGGCATTAAATCCAAAAAACATAACACATGCTTATGTTACTGGTGAAGTTCACACTGTAAAATCATAGCTAACAAAGAAAAATCCCTGAAGGCCAATATCAAGGATAGAAAAGACCACACATACAGACCTAACAGCTTTGCTGTGTACTCTGTAAAAGTAACATCATCTATTAAAACCCAGAGCATTTGCAGGGAAGACCAAGTGATTGGTTGTGCTTATTTTTCAAGCATTAAATTACTATTTCCTAATCCTAACTACACTTGATTCAAATAAAGTTTTTTTCAGGTTAAAAATAGTGGTGTTAGATTGAAGCTATATAATTACATTCTCCTTCTTTCTCTTCCTAGCCCTTCTTCCTGAAGTAACCACCCCAGCAGAATAGGAATTTCAGTGACCCTGTCATCATTGTGCTAGAGTTGTCTCCTAAAAGGGTTGCTAAAGGAAATTCCAACATTGTACCTCCACAGCCAGAAGTAAACAACATAAGGTTTTCTACTGAAATGAAACACCAATTTTGTTTTGTAATGCCCCATTTTCTACCATTGTATGCTAGGCTTTTAGAGAACATGTGAAAAGTGTTCTACATAGCCCATCTACAAAAATTATTCCATGCTGACAGCAGCAAAAATATAAGGTGGTTTGGGGCAAGTCTCTGTCATACTTTATTTTAGTTAATGATCTAATGTATCATACCCTTCCCTGCAAACCAATTAAGCTCAATTACCAAGCACACATGTATAATGCAGATGCTGACTGTTAGAGGATTAAGAACAGGAATATAGCAACTACTAAATTTCCTGACACACAAACTTACTCAATTCATTTTGCAAACATTTTCCCCTTCTTTCTCTGTGCAGTGTACAGCATACATGGATTATTTTTTTACATACTTGGCAAACAAAAAAAGACTTTTATTATTGAATGCTTACAAGTTCATGAAAATAAATCACCCTCACACACCCTTTTCCAAAGTTTGATTCTGGGTTGGCAGGACATGTTCATTAAAACAAGTAAAATTTCAACTCTGTTATATTTTCTTTGGTTTTTTATGGAGATGGTCACAAATGCTCTCTTAATTCAGGCCACGGAGTCAGAGTGTTGTGGAACTTACTGTTCTAGCCCAGGTGGTGTTGAAACAACTGGCACATAAGGTTAAGATAGATGTCATACCATTGTCAGATCACATGAAAGGTAATTACAGATAATGAGTGTCACACACAGAGTTCTAAGTTACTTTGCATTTTGGTGCCATCATTATAGAATTATATAATATAGGCTCCACATTAGATTCAGTCTTCCAACATTTACTATGTGTTCAAAAGGTTCCTAGAGATATTCAACTTGATTGTGTTGCAGAATTATATTGATACATTATTCCATTACATTTCTTTAAAGCAGACTGGTAAGTGGATAAGCATCTCAGCAGCGTTTTTCTAAACCTGTTTTCAAATCAGAAAATGATAAGCAGTTCCAGTATCAAGAGAGCTAAAAATGCATAATTTCCTTATCTGAAGTCTCACTACCAAAGAGACCTTCACTGAAGGTCACTTTGCTCTTGTATGAAGAACACTAAAATATGCATCGTACAACATGTCTATGAAAGAAAAATATCTTTCAGATATTCCTAAATCTTGAATTATAAGATGTATCAAACTGGTTTATTCCTTCCTATTATCTTCTGGTATTAGATTATGATAACTAATACAGCTGTAACTGTAGCTGTCAGAAGTTAAGCAAATTTTTCAACTCTCTTCACACTTGACTGAAAATTCAGGGAGGTAGAGGCAATGCAAATGTCCTGACAAGAATATTTATCCCTTTTAAACATACCTGCAAATGTTGAGTTATTTGACATCACAGTAAACTGAACACAGACAAACTTTTGAGAGTTCAAGAAACAAACTTCGAGCATGGGTGTTTAATGCTAAAACATAATCACTTGTACAAACTTTTTATCCACACGAAATATAATATTCTGTCAGGTTGATGAGACACTGGAACAGGCTTCAACCCTGCCAGGCTTAAAGCCAGGTTTGAAAAGGCTTTGAGCATCCCAGTCTCGTGTGAAGCGTCCCTGCCCAAGATGAGGGGGTTGGAACTATCTCAGAGGTCTCTTCCAACCCCTTAACATTCAATGATTCTATGAAATGAATTTGTGGAAGGCACTGTGCAGCTAAAGATTCCATAACCAGCCATATATAGTACTTTAAAATGATGAGCAAGAATTATCTTGGAGTAACCCATTAATCCTGATGAATCATTGTTTCAGCCAGTGCACCAGTTCCCAGTTTAAAAGATACCATATCTCCCAGCATGAAGATATTCTGCATTTGTGTCATGTCAGACACCTGTGCTGACTTAAACAGCACATGCCTTTGATAAGAACACTACAGTATGAACTCTGATTTTTCAAGAAGTATTCTGAAAAATTCAGGTAGATGTCATCTATGTCACAAAGCCCTACTTATTTCTTTAAATGTCCAATTATCGGTTAAAAAGCAGAATATAGAAGATTTTTAATAATATCTATTCATTAAGGATTATGTAATTCTTGTCATGAAATCTTTATACTCACAGAAACTAAATAAATACTGAATGATTTAGCAGAAGACCCTAGTGTCTAAAAAAAAAAAAAAACAACACTTGCTTTTAACAGCACCACAGCATTTTCTACAGCTAAAAATTACACCTAAATCCAAAATATTGCCAGTAATAGCCATAAATTGGCAAACTGCATCCTTAGAACTGCATTCTGAAAGACCAGATCAATGAGGGAAGAGCATAGGTTTGCTCTCAACGTACATTATTAAAACAGCAAGTTTTCAAGCTCTTTAATAGCACTTAATTTCATTTGCAGCAATTATTTGACTTCTCTATGAAACGTACTCAAACCTCCTAAGATTACTTGAAATATATACTACCCATCAAGAAGAAAGGTTCATTTCTCATCTCAAGATCTGGGCATGTTATGTTCCAACATAAATATTTTGACTATGTGTATTTTGCCAGAAACACCAATTTCAAGTTACAACTGGACAAAATCACATATGCACATATGCATACCTATGTATAGGTAGATATGTTTTTGTTACATTGCTCACACATATATGCATGCATGTATTTCCTTCTAATAGTGACATTGTGTCCTTTTAAACCCTGAAAATTGTTACCTGCCATGTAAAGTCACTTCTGACTAATCCTTAACCCTCTCAATGTCAATTCTATTAAAGAACTACAAGTTTCTGACAATTCCCACAGGCGGGCACATCTACAGTGCAATAGCTGTTAGTACCTCTTCAACATGGACATATCTGGGATTTAGAGGGCAGAGCACTTGCTGTGACATTTTCCTGGAAACCTGATACTTGGTGGCTTGTTTGGTGGAGGTTTTTTAGATATTCATCATGTTTTATTTTATTTTATTTTTATTCTGCACGTTGTTGTCCTTTAAACTTTTAATCATTTCACATATTTCTGTAACTTCTGATTTCATTCATATCTAGTAATGGTTTAATGGGGAGTCAAAAGATAAGTATTGAA